ATGCTGGTCATCCCGACATAGGTCGCATGAAATCTATCGCCCGCAGCTACGCTTACTGGCCAAATATGGATCAGCAAATCGCAGACCTAATCAAGAGTTGCCGCCAATGTCATCAGGCTGCCAAGAACCCTCCCAAGGTCCCTACAGTCCCTTGGCCACAACCACAAAAACCCTGGTCACGGATCCATATCGACTTTGCTGGACCGATCAACGGAGTCTCGTGTCTTGTGCTCGTGGACGCCTAATCAAAGTGGCCGAACATCGTCCCAATGACTTCCCCCACAACAACGAGAACATTACAGGTTCTCTCTCAGATTTTCAGCCGCCATGGGATTCCGGAAACTATTGTCTCAGATAACGGGTCGCAGTTCACCTCTCAACAATTCAAGGAGTTCTGGCGACAGCATGCTATTACACACGTGCATTCCCCACCCTACCACCCACAGTCCAACGGACAGGCGGAAAGGTTCGTCGACACATTGAAGCAAGCCCTGCTAAAATCCCGTGGAGAAGGAAGGACATCCGTCGAAAGTCTACAGAATTTTCTGGTGTATCGTACAACACCAAACGAGGTTCTACCAAATCGACAGTCGCCATCTGAGGCACTCATGGGTCGCAAATTGCGGACAAATTCCGCAATGATTCTGGTACAGGACAACCGCCCGGAGCCTCCGAGTACGAAATCTATCACGCCATTTGAAATCGAAATAACCGTGTACGCTCGTGACTATCGACCAAGGCATGACCCATGGATCGAAGGGACCATTGCACGCCGACACGGCAAGGTCATGTTCGACGTGACGGTGGGTCGCGCACGTGGTCAAGGCATCGAAACCGACTCCGATTGAGAAAAGTGTCTGCGACAGCAAATCACCAGACCAGCATCCCACAAGATGTACTTTTCGACACTTTTCAGCTGCCGACACCAATCGCCACGCTAGTGAAGACCGACAGAGATCAACTAGCAGCAGACAAGTCTTCACCCCCAAGGCGGAGTAGCCAAAAACGACAGAAACCAACACTACTCCAAGTCAACCCAAAGAAGAAGCGTTATTAGCTTTTCAAGGAGAGGTGTTGGGGATCCACGATTCCCCAAGAATGCTCGTCGTTGGTTTCTGGCACAATTTACACTAATTCACTAGCATGCGTTTTATTACGCCTTTTATCAAGTCAAGGTCAACTCTGACTTGAATTAGTTTAACTTTTTGACACTCCACGCCGCACGTGACTGACGTGAATAAAGCTCTCTACACGAGCTTTGGTCTTGTTCTTGAATTAGCGTGAGAAGGTCGGTTCTAGTGTCAGACAAGGCATCTAGTACCTTTATTTGAGTGGTTTCCGCCTTGTTACGGGCAAACGTAACAGGCTCACAGTTCACATCACAACAGTTCATGGAGTTCTGCCGATAACACGCTATTGCCCACATGCAGTTCCCAACGTACCACCCACAGTCAAATGGACAGACGGAAGTTTGTCAACGGATTGAAGTGGGAAGGAACGACATTTGTAGACAGCCCACAGAATTTACTGCTGGTGTATCGTACCGGCGAACACCAATGCCATAATCTCAATCTAGACCTCTGACGCACCATTGGAGAAACTCGCTGAGATAGCCGATAAAATCCACGAGTGTTTTTTCGAGATACCAGGTCATGAGAATGTCTTCTCTGGCGCCACCTACTCCCTGGGCATCAACAAATTGGAAGAACGACTGGGCAAACGGTGAATGAAATTCGATGAACATACTAGAAGCCGTCAGAGCAGCTTCTACAGACATCCGCAACGTTGACGACGTTCTTTACTACGTTTTCGCCTATCCAGCCAATCTGGAGAACGATCTGGCCTACGTTGGCACCATCAGCGGCACGGTGACAAAGCATGTGTGCGAAAATATCCTCGCAGTCACCCTCAGGACTTCAAGCCCCAAAATTTATCGTGGAGGAACGAAAATGTCAGCCAGTAAGAGCGACGACTACCCAATGCACTCAACCTAGTCGACTACCTTCCTGTCGCCGATTCAGTAAGAAGTTTAAACTTATGGATCTTCCGTCCAAGGTGTCCCGTGTCATCTGAATTCGTACAAGTCCTTGGCTAAGTACTGATCAAGCAACGCCTCGAAATCCATGTAAGATACCTTGTTTGTGGGATCGTTGTGTGCGCGTAAGGCTGCATCAGCGACGGTACTGTCCACGTCTTTAATGGGACTGGTGCTTCGTGGAAATTGTACGACGTAATCAGAGCGTGTGACTCAGTTTTTGGTGGATGTTCGCCGTAGATTATCGACCTTCGAGTGACAATTTGCCAAAACTTTATCGTTTCCAGTTGGAACTCGCAGAGTTACGTTCGCCAGGAGTCGAATATGAGTAATTACCGCGGGAGAAACCCAAATATGACACCTCTAATGGAAATCTCCCAACCCAGGTAAAAAGAAAATTCAAAGGGGATCCAACCTACTGCCAAGCCTCTACGAGTCAGTTCTAATTGATGGTGGCATGCAGAATTAAAGATGTGTAAAGGAAAGGCCCTAGAGGCATTTAAACTATTCTCACGAACTAAATTTCCACGGAAATCTCGAGGCGATGGTGAAGAGACCTTCAGTTCAACTGCAATTTAAATGGCCTAGGGTAGCTAACGAAATACAGAGAAGGGAATAAGTTTCATGGAAGAACAGATTGACATCGCCTGTTTTTGATTTGGTTGGTAGTTCGAGAAACAAAAGCGCCAATCGCCAATCAATCATAAACCGGTTGGTAGCCCCTTACACTGACAGATAACCTCTGTTTCACTCATATAACACGATAGAAAGACGGTCCGTGGTTCAGAAACGAAAGCTCTTTTAACGCTGTTTGAAGCCAAACCATGGCGGTAAGCTTGTACTTGCGCAATCAATAATTGCAGAGCACCGCACCATACGTACTTACACACTTTGGATGGTGGCAGCAGTTATGCACTAGACGTTGCAAACAACCACATGATCGTAGGCCACGCGGAAGAAGTTATTTCGATGGTGGCACCCGCGATTGTCTCTGCAAGTCGGAATCAACTTTTAACGTTACTCGCGAAACTTTGGTGATAGCGCTTGGAGTAAAACGAAGAACATGAATTGCCTTGGTAGCATCATTTCAGCATCAACACAGACCAGCAAAATGCCACCGAAGATAGTCTAACGTGGCGCGGTGACACCACTTTAACAACAGCGTGGTCCCTAGTGTGTTTTGCCAATGCAGGGGATGCTGGTTGTGAATTGCGATACACAATCAAAAGGTGGATTTAAGTGGGGAGAACTGGTCACATTGTTAAGGATAAACAAGATTGTGAACTCACGTTCTCGCAGTAGGTGACGGAATTGATGCACTGCAAGATAATCCACCAAAACCCGGCTTGAGAATGTTCTGCAGCGAGAAAGAGCCGCGGCAATTATTGTGGTGGTCGCAAAAACGCAAATCGTTGGTGAGCTAGCGCGGCATGTGGCGCAATCAATGAGCCACCTGTGCAGAAAGCCTGACCTCGACCACGGCTACTTCCGACAGAGAACTAATGCCAACAGAAGTACTTCCGGGATTTGGTGACCTTCGACCACCTGAAAAGGATGTGACAATAAGGATAATTAGTCAGGTTGGGGTTTGTGTCTGGTCGCCAAGTACTCCTAACGGATATCCAAGAGTGGCACAGCGGATATGTATAGACGTGGTACTACAAAATTGTGAAATATGCCGATGTCAGCTAACAAATTACTACAACCATCACGTTCGTGCAAAGGCAATGCCGTCTGCGATGTTTAAACCTTAGTGTGTGTTCCGGAGAGTTTAACAGACCCGACTGGACCATATTCTCATGGGCACTTCCCTCATCTTCCGTCAAAACCACCAACTTCTCATGGATGGAAGCACTGTAATGTGTCAAGAGGGGATACGTAGGGTGTTGTTGTGGTAGGGGGCTCAGCGTATACCTCTACTTCGAGCAACAAAGCAAGGAAAGATCAAAAGGCAGCCAGTTTCTGGCCCGAGAGATGGCGATCACCAACGCCACGTGCTCGCACACCTGGGCCACGACTGATTTCGTAAAAATGTCTACCATTACCTCAGCACTACCTTGAACACAAACACGACCACACAACTAAGTTGAGCCATCTTACAAACTCCTGTCTCAAGAATGTACGGTTGATGTGGTTCGAAGCCACGTACCGAAGTCTTCATCGCACTCATAGGTCCCAGACGTGCACCAGTAAGATTGAGGCCATCTCAACGGTTCTAGGGGCTGCATTAATTTCGTTAGAGCTAGCCACGCACGTTTACAGTCCACATATTGCATTATAGAAGAAAGCCCAAACCAGCCAATTTAAGTTATGCTAACACGTTTGTAGATCATTTGACTAGTTTCACCTGTTTTGGAAACACAAAACCCCATTTTCTGCTATTCAAGTTGGCAAAACGACACGAGTCCAGCACTGAACGCTACTTTGAGAATAATAAAACCAATTACAGAACAAACATTAATACACGCTTTATACAGGTGGTACCACAATCGGTCATGAAGTATGACCAGCCATAGAAAAAGACTTGAAATGCAACAGTAACACAATAAACTACCACTTACGGATTTAATAGCAAATGATTATCTGGCGTTAAGGAGTGAGTTAATGCACGGAGGGAACTTCTATAATGCCAATTTAGGCTGCAAACACCTGCGGTCTCGGACGGTGCTGATCGGGGGCATATCGCTCGAGTCAACGAACCCCACCAAACGAAACAGACAACCACGTGACGCGAATGACGAAGCAGCACTGGTGCATTTTGTTCAAATATGATGCATAGATTTAAACAAATGAGATTATCAACATTTAAAAGAGCAATCTAAGCATGGTTTATGCCAATTAAAAATTCAACAATTTATTGTGTGGCACAAAGGTCCGGACAAATTCGTAGTAGGAATTAACTTGCAGGCAGTTGAAGTTGTTAATTATTTAAATAAACGTGGATTTTCCAACTTGCTGCGTTAGTGATATTAACAATCAGAGTAATATTGTCGCGGTATCTTCTTCCAGATAGTCAAACACCGGTAAGGTAGAATCAAAGTCGTTTGCTTAACTGTTATCATCAGCAATTTGACATTGACTTTATGGACATCTGCTTTGTACTAAATTTTTTCAATAAAAAGCTAAATGTTTTCTGCGTGCATTTAAGTACTAAAAACACCAGAAATAATTTTTTTTCGCTCAAATGACGCATTTACTCAGTCATACAAATTCTACTTTGGGGGTACCAGCCCATCCGCAATCCAAATCACGGAGATTTTGACCATCATTAATCCGTTGCTCTGCTTGAATTGAACCATTTCTTCAGACTTCGGGGCATAGGCCTATGAACCTACTCAATTTTCCTTTTTATATGCACACACTGTGGTATTCATGCTGAATTCAAATTATTAGGTATTGCATACTTTGTGACGTCTAAACCTGGTCCCTTCGTCAAAGTGTGGAAGTTCTGAATTTGCATCGAATGTCTATTAAGGTGTCAACAAATCTTCTCATTTCCTCAGATTTAACTAGAATGGAAGCCCCCATTGCGTATCCTTATGACATTTTTAATTTTATTTGATGGAATATAAGCCAAAAACACCTGTATTGTCCACCTAATAGTAATGTCAAAAGAAGAAATACAACGAGAAAAGCAAATAGGGCTAAAGTTAATTTAAAGGACCTAGCTGGAAATAAGTAAGAAACGGGGTTTAGGGTCCCAATTCATCCAAAGCATGACACATTGGCTTATAAGCAGGTATTTCAAGGAGAAGTTTGATACGAAGGGGCTGGAAATATCATAACATTCGTTTTCAAAGGAATATTGCGAGACAAAAACCATCACTTAGGCCACGAAACTGGCGCTGATCAACTGTCTGTTTGAGAGCGCACTGCATGAACCACATCCGCGTCATCATCGTCGTCGTCGTCTTCGGCCGCGTCAGTTCTGGTGGAGATGGCAGGAGAGACTTGACACGAGGGAGCACTGCGAATACTCGTCATGCTGATTCCGGGCAGTGCACTGACGCAGAAGCCCCCGCTCTGTCCCTCGACAGTTAGTTGGGTTTCTAGGTCTCTGCCGGAATGTTGAAGCTGACGCCCGATATCGATTAGGGACTGGGTGGAAGTGGGAGTGTATCCGGAGGATTGGTAAGCGAGCGCAGCGGTGGTAGAGGGTTCAAATGTGACCACCAGCTGTGGGGTGGCTCTGGTGTGGATGGCGGCGGTAGCCGAGGTGGGACTGGGGCCTGAATCAAGAAACCAGGCAGTGCGTCTAAGCATGGCGTCCATCTGACGTCGATGGACCGCCCGATAGCGACTTCGCGATCGACGGATGTAGGACCTGGTGAATATTCGTGCATGAGGGAAAGCGCGTTCTTCTACCTCACGTGGTATATCCCGTGTTTCATCCTCCTACGCACAAATGCAAGACAAAATCCCAGCAGATTCTATGAGTGAGCGCTAGCTGCGCACGATAATACAATGCGTCGCTAGTTTAATAACTCTCATATTATCCAATATATCTGTCATGTAATTAGGGCAATTTGAATTAAACAAATTCTCAAACGTGACTCGAATACAATTGTTGGCTTATCAGTGCATGGGCTAGGCATGTGCTAGACATGTACTAAAATATGACCTCACGCCGTTCTCCCTCGTTATGCACGATATTTCGAAGCACTTAAATTTATCCCGCTATTTTTGAACTGTCTAAATTATTTTATAAAACGAACGAATAATTTTAAATTGGGAAAGTCAAAAGTTACAAAAACACAATTTTTTGAGATTACAAAAGTTTAGACATTTACGAAATGCAAAATTATTGATGAAATCAAAATTTCGTATGCAATTTTATGACTGGCCTTTGGGATAATTTTTCGCACTGCCGTCGTTTTTAATGCAAAAATATGACAAATATTAAAAAGAGCAAACATTTTAAACAGAGTTTGTAAAAGGCAAATTGCCAGGTGGGTTTCTGGACGTCGAGTACATTCCTAAGCACCCCACCTCCACAATGTGCCTGAGGTGAATCTACTTCGCGTTGGTAGCAGGCATTTCGCCGAACACTCAACAACTAGACATTGCTGAAACATCTTTATGGCTATTGTTTGATGCTAAACTAAAAAAGATTAGTCTGTGCATTGCCTTGCATGATGTGTACAAGGGGTTGTGAGAACTTACTCCATAGAGCAAAATTATTAGTGAATGGAATTCACAGTAAAAAAAAATGCACACCTCGTTGGCGACGGTGGTTGATTGATGACAAATTGAGGTGTCAGAAATGAAGCAGTTGTGATGGAACGAACATACGTTGCATGCT